TATATATATATTATATTATATATATATATATAATATATATATATACACATACATACATATACACACACACACACACACACACACACATAATATATATATATAATATATATATATATATATATATATATATATATATATATGTACATATATATATTTACATATAATAAATATACATATATACAACACATATATATATATATTATATATATATATATATATATATATATATATATATATATATATACATATAATATACATATACATATACATATATATATATATATATATATATATTATATATATATATATATATATATATAATATATATATATATTATATATATATACTCAAGGCACCTCAGCTCACGCTCCCTTCTAGACAAACCTGGGATCAATTTCACTTTGAATCGTACATCAAAGCGCCCCGCGTTTTCCGCCCATTTCGCCGAGATTGAGTCAAATGCATTTCCAAGGAGTTTAGGCCCCGATTTCTCTGAAATTTCAGGCCCGACCGCTGTCTTTAGGGTGCAGCGGCCTCTGCGATGTCGACCGAATTATTTTTTTTACATTACCTTAGAAATCTACAACTCATTTTCGGAAATTAAAAAAAATCTGGCAGCGTTCATTTTTTATACAATCAATAATAATAGGATATGCTCATATGGAATTTGAAACCCTCTTGTGCTGGCAAATGTCCGCAAGATGCAGAATGCAGGTAGATAGAGGATTAAGGAAGACGAATCTTATACCTTTTTTGTTAATACCAAAATAAAAGATAGGGAAAATTAAGAATGTCGATATCTCGGTACACCATCTTCAGAGAGGGGGCAAATTCTCACGGGCGCATTCTCCAAAATTAACATATTATGCCTCATTTTGAAGAAAAATAAAATATTTACAACTTGTTAGAGAGCGTTTTGCAATTTTGCCTACAACTTCCCACCTTGTGTATCCCTTGACCCTGGTGCAAGCGAGAGGAGAGGGAGGGGGTCAGCGTGACTGGCCAAGCGAACTCCGGGGCGGGGTGAAATTCTGTTCGAGGTCATCTGGCAGTAATAGTATAATAGTTAACCAATAACAGGTCTATACAGCTTTATATGTGAAAAAATAATAGTAAGATTTGAATCATTATCAATAAGATTTTAATAGATATAAAGCTAAAACTTTGTAGAATTTGACAGTCAAAGTATATAGAAAATGAAACGTAGCAACGACTCTACAGAAAATGTTAGTGTAACTGGAGGACTTAAGTAAATTGTTGTATCATGTAAGATACCCTTTATTAGTGTATTAACAGTTTGATAAGTAGGAAAATATAATCATCGGTGTACAATGTTCACCTCTTCTCACCTCATTATTTAATTATTTTAAAATTAAATGACAATTTGTTTTGTATTGCGCGCACTACACACACACACACACACACACACTTACTGTCAATGCAGTGATTTGCTCTGATTAGCTTTGAGGTTGCATTTCATCAGGACCAACCTTTTCTGTGTTCTTGTGTATGGCTGGTGTCACTACAGACTAGGGTTTCAATAATTTTAACTGGAATGTTATATGTTTTCGACTGTAAAAATAGTCCAATTGTTTTTCTCTTTTTAAAAATACTATGTATAAGAATTGGAAAAATAAAGAATATCTACGAGTCGCGCATTTGTTGCAAACCAGATGTACAGAGGATTGCTCTCAAGTTCGAATGTGTGTCTCGACGCCTTTCCTTAAGCTTTAAATTTTATTGTTCTTTTAGTTTTTCCCCTTAATTTCTGATATTATTTCTGCTGACATGAATTACCTGGTAGGTTACTGAGGTTTCCTGTCTTACCCATATTCCTTAGGTATATAAGCTCCATCAGACTTCTTGTTTGATATGAGTTGTGAGTATTATAGCAATGGTATCACTAAAACAAATGAACTTCGAGGCTGTGTAAAGGTGTTTTTTTCAATCATGAGACAATATTACATATGCAACTTCCGAAAGTTAATTTTGTCGAAGGGAGTGAGATTACGTCTACTGACAACATCACTACAGCCAACCGATCTGTAAATAAACCCGTCGCTGAAATAGATCTGCAGAGAAACATTTGGACTTGAGCTATTACTATGATAAATGTCACCGAAAGGATGCGGAATTGGCTTCCATGGAAACCAATTTTCAGTTCTAAACAAACTTGTACCGACATGGCGTTGTCTATATCGAGCCTCTTAAATTCTTCAAAATGAAACTAGATCAATTTGTCGGGGAGAACCACTACAATTCAAATCATATTGATAGTTTTACATATATACCTGGTGAACTTAGAGACAAAGTCTCAAAGCAAGCATGAAGAAGGTGTATGATGTAACGATGAGCACTGTTTTATTTTCTTTCACGGACTATGATATGTAAAACCCAAGAAAATAACCATGGGTCGTATAAAACCTTGAAAATATATTGAATAGATGATTGAAGTTAGAAAAATAATCTAATTTTTTTTATGTTATTCTGATAGTACGCAATGTTTTTTTTTTTTCAGTAAAAGTACTTTAGGCCTATCAAGAAATTGGACTGGAATGCATTGAAATAAATCGCAGAACGTAGGTCTGCTCAAATGTTGATTTTGATTTTGTTTAGGGTGAGCTCCTTGATTTTTCAAATAGTTTGTTAATATAATGGCCATATATTTCTGGTCCATAGCTCTTAACTCCATTGCCTGGATCCCTGTCTCTTCTCCTGAGGGAAAAGGACATGGTTATTTATTTCAGACCTGCAACATGAGCATAAAAATGGAAAATATGCTTTAAAGAATGAGGTAAAATTGCCAACTTTTCTGATGCATAACTTCAATTTTGGACAAGACAAACAGAATGATTTTTTTTTTTAAATAATTAGGCCTATCAATATTTTCCTTATTGACTGCTGAACCAGCAAGACATTGTGCTACAAGGGCGCTTTACGACTGAAAGTAGCTTTTAAAAATGACAGGGACGAAAATTTAACAATAGCAGGCCTACATAGTATATGAAGTACATAATATCATACCTTAACGATCGAACCCAACGTCTGTATTCTGATATCTGTAATTTTCAATATTACGTCTGCCGCTCCGATATCGACGATTCTGGTATCGTTGGATTCCTCTCACTCTATACAATGCAAATGTGTAGGTTTTATTGCACGGAAATCCCCCGTTAGCGGCAAACTTGGCCCCGATAGCAGGGGTGACGATGTCGGAGCGGCGGACGTAATATATAAAATTACCCTAAAAATATAACGTCACAGTGAAAATAATCATGGTTATTCACATGAATAACCATGCGACCCCCCCCTGGGGGCTTCACTCCCCCGCCGAGGAAACACAATCTCTACCATGTATTCAAGGCAGGATAGAACCCACACGAACTAGATGCGGAGCCGATAACCTACAATAATCTAGGATTTTTAAGGTACTAACCTGATTGATAAATGCCGCTAATAGTAGGGAGGGTACTCCTTTGCCGCAGAAAGTGGAGGCAGGTTGTGATGTGGACAGTGAGAGGAATCCAACGATACCAAAATCATCCATATCGGAGCGGCGGAGGTAATATAGAGAATTACCCACATCTCTGCCATTTCTTCCTGGCTGGTTACTATATCGCGCAGGAAATCCGTCTCCGAGTACGAGCACCCTCCACACTCGGCCATCGCGGCGGCGAAGTACTGAACGCGACGGTTATTTCGGTTAGGAATACGGATGTCGTTCCAGAGGACGGGAAACTCGACCTTGAGGCCATCGGTGTAACATCGAAAGAAGCGCAAAACCCGCCGACGAGGGCGGGCCACCCTGTTCATCTTGATTATACTACAATCGTCTTTATATATAATGCTGAGTATGCCAAGGTTAATATGCTGAATCAGTGGGAATGTTACGAGGTAATTGTAATATCACGCCCGCCGCTCCGACATCGACGATGATTGTGTAACGCTCTAGCCTGCCGTGAATACGTGGTGGTTTTGTTTCCTCAGCGGGGGTTGGGGGGCGGTAGCTCCCCCCAGGGGAGGTCGCAGGGGGCGCAGCCCCCTGCAATGGAGAGTCATGTGAATAACCATGGTTATTTTCACTGTGCGTTATATTAACCCCGCATTTTCCCTGGAACCTTCCATGCCCTCCCCTGTCATCGGGGCCAAGTTTGTAGCTAACGGGGAGTTTCCGCGCAATAAACACTATATATTTGTAATGTGGGCAGTGAGAGGAATCCAACGATACCAAAATCGTCGATATCGGAGAGGCGGACGTAATATAGAAAATTACCCTGACGTCTTTTTCTCTTTACTCGGGAAAACAAAAATTCAATAGGAGCGGGACTCTGACTGGTGCTTGCAGCTTGGAGCAAAACAGTCGATGTATAAAGCTAAATTCCACTATGTATGACAGTAATCCCACCGTAATTCAATTCCTTCAGCTATCGTGAGTAAAATATTTGAGTAACGAGAGTAAATACGCTACCGGTAGATAAATTGTATACGTTTGTGAACTGAGTTGCGGGTTTGTTTAGAACTGAAAATTCGTTGCCATGCCAACGCGACGTAGCCCTTGAGAACTCTATTGTCAAGAGTATATGAATTTTTCAAAGTTCACCCATGCTGGAGAAAAGCCATGATGAGCACTAGGACTATGCTACATGAAACCACAGTACATCCAGAATGCAGGAAATAGACGTTCAGCTTGACTTTGGAGATCAATACTTTGCTTGTCTCAACAGACATGAACGTGTTCCAATACTTTAAAACTGAGTCTACAAGCAAAATATTACTCTCCCCATCCCTTCTCTCTCTCTTCCTCCCTTCTTTTCTCTCTCTCTCTCCCTCACTGTCCCTCTTCCTCCCTTCCTTTCTCTCTCTCTCTCTCTCCCTCCCTCACTATCCCTCTCCCTCTCTCTCTCTCCTTGTCCCTCACTCCCTCTCTCTATATGTGTGTGTGTGTGATACAGCCAAGCACACTATATAAATATATATGAATACATAAATAGAAAACAATATTTCTACCTCTATCCCCTTTATTGCATTTCCTCTACAGCTCAAAATCCGGCTGAGTTTTCCGGAGCCGCCTGTACATGGAGTAGAAGTGGGCGTCCGCGTACTTCTGCATGTCCCTCCAGAAGACGTCGGACATGGGCTGGCAGTGCGCCTCCGGGATGAGCTCCACCTCCTTCTGCGTCGCCAGCGCTAGGATCTTGAAAGGGAGGGGAAAAGAATAATAAAAATGGTAGTAGTAACTTTGGGGGGAAATGTTTAATTAGGTTTACTGGTGAGAGGTTATGGTATCCACTGATGATACGTATGGAATTAGATATATGAAAAAGTTATTGGTGATGTTTGATGTAAAATGTCTATACAGATGAGCAAAGGAAATGATAAACCGACATTTCTCATAGAATAATTCATAAAAGATAATATGGTATATGAAACACTCACATCTTTTTCAATACTTTAATCACGATGATAATAATGATGATGATGATTGTAATGATGATAATAATAATAATAACAATATTAATAATAGTCATCACAATAACAGTTTTTTAGCTATTGTAACAATCATCATCGTCATCATTATCATTATTATTGTTATCGTTGTTATTATCAGTATCTTAATCCTCCTCATTATTATTATTACTGTTATAACCGTCATTACTACTGTTATCATTTCATTCATTATTACAGTTACAATCACAATAATAATTATTCTACATAACTATAAAGCAATTAAAAAAGTAAATGCTGATAAACAATAGAAATTTCTTCTTAATTTTTGTTTTCTTTTATTGATAATGATGATGATGATGATGACGATGATAATGATAATAATAATAATAAATATGATGATGATGATGATGATTCTACAAATACAAACTAATATTTATACTAATACTAATACTAATGACAATAACAGCAACAACAATGTTAATAACGATGGTAAAGGTAATAATAATATAATTATTACTAAAATCAGATAATATCAATGATAATACTAATCTTACTGCTACTAATAATGATGGTAATAACAATACTAATAAAATACAACAATAATAATAACAATTATGATATAACAATAAAATTTTAATACTATTACTATCACTATTACAATTATAAGTGTTGTTAACAAAATTACGCTAAATTAAAACAAATTTCAACCTTACACGGGACCACTCCTCTTCTAAAGCTTTGCTCCCCCCAAAACACACACACACACACACACACACACACACACACACACACACACACACACACACACACACACACACCACACACACACACACACACACACACACACACAACAGCACAGTTAAAAACCAAACAGACTTACCTGAAGCTCCGCACATCGCTCCAAGTAATAGAGATGGTCAAACGCCATGGACACAGTAGGAGCAACGACGAGGACCCCGTGCTGGCCCATGAAGAGGACGTCTTTGCTTCCTTGGGTCGGGGGGGAAGGGCAAGATGGAAGGGGGAGGTTGACGGACGAAGGGGGGGCAAGACGACGAAGGGGCAAGATGGGGGGAGGGTTGACGGACGAAGGGGGTGTGACAGACGAAGGGGGGGGGACGGGTGACGGTACGGACGGAGGGGGGGGGGGACGACGACGGGGGACGGACGAAGGGGGGGACGGCGAGGGGGAGACGGAGGAATTAGGACGAGGGGGGGGGCAAACGGACGGAGGTGGGGGGTTGACGGACGAATTAGGACGAACGGACGAGGGGGGCAAGACAACGACGGGGGGGGTGACGGCGAGGGGGGAGGGGATTAGGATGAGGGGGGGCAAGACGGAACGAAGGGGGGGGAGTGACGGACGACGGTAGGGTTGGGGGGGGGAAGAAAAATATGAAAATTGAGGAAAGGAAGAGGAAGAGTAAAGGAGGAAAAGAAAAAGTTAAAAGGAGCAACAAGAAAAATAACAAGAAATTGAAGAAAAAGAAAAATAGGAAGAAGAAAATGAAGGATAAGAAGAAAAATATAATAATGAATATTTCACTCCCGGCTGGAATAGATTATCTGGACTATACAGCAGGAATAAAGTTTATAGTTTCTTGATTTATATCTGTTGTTAACAAACTCTAATAAATCTATGCATTTAGTGACAAAACCGAGGAATCCAGTAGTTTTATTTCAAGACCATAATTCCATCAACACGATCCGTATTTCTCTAAATTGATACCAACAAAACAAATGCACGTAAATGAAAAAAAACTTGATTTCCGATGCTCTTTCCTTACCTAAAACTTTCCCCAGCCTTTTGCCTTCTTCGAGAGCGACCGCAAGGCCCCCGTAATCTCTGTCGTGGGAAATTCTGTTGTAGAATCTCAAGCAATTCTGGTGCATCATCAGTAGTTGTGGATCTCTGAGACAAGCTGCAAAGGATGAAAATAAAATGTCAACAACAACAACAGCGGTAACAGTAGCAACAACAACAAAACAACAACAACAAAAAGATGAACCACATAATCTGACTGTCCTTGTCTTCCAGGTACAGTAGTTTCA